GATGACAGCTTTTTTGGGCTCAGCATCCTTTAAAGTGTACTTTTCAAAGTGAATTAATATAGGATATGAGGTTTATTATAGTGAAATATTAGATTGTTAGAATTAATTAATTGCGCTTAACCATCCACCCTTGAGAAAAGTTAAAATTTAAACCCATTCTTTACTTTACAGAAAACCATTATTTCCCCCATTATAAGTAAAGTACAATGCTGGTCTCACTTTACTAATGGCAGCTCTTTCAGTTAAAAAAATCACCTTGTTAGAAAAATAAAACAAAGTTAACTGATGCATTGATTGTGTTTGCTCTTCAAAACTTAAACTTTGATAATTTTGCCCTGTTATCTTTAAAATATGGCACAAAGAAATTGGAGGCTTTTATTCTATTGACCTTCTAGCTAGGCACACTTTTATATTTCTAACAGGGCAATAGAGTTGTGGAATGAGTTGCCATTGGCAGTAGAGGATGCCAGCACTTTACAACAGTTGGGGAGGGGGGTAGTAATTTTCTGAGTAATAAAGGGTGAGTTTAAATTTTTATTTTTTCAAGGGTGTACATTTAAAGGACAGTTTTGAAAAAGCAAATGCAGAGACTTGCACTTTTAGATAATAAAGTTTCATTAAAGGTAAAATGTCAATTTAAATGAAAGTTCTCTTTTAATTATCTGGAGTGAAAGGTCATTTTTATTTCAGATTTATTGTCAAAAAAATTTTAATTTCTCACAATACTCACTATGCTATTAAATTATGAAACTTGTTTAAAAATCATGATGCACCTGTATTTGTATACTTTTAGGAAAACTGGGTACTGACATAAAACATTCCCGAAATATATTTGTGTGCATGTGAAATGTTTTTACGTTTATGTGAAAACACATTTGTAATAACAGAAGCACCTTAATTAGCCCATTCGAGACAGGGTACAGGTGAAAGGCCATGTCATCTCGTTTGTTGACGTGCATTCAAAAATTTATTGAACTGCTATTTCATGAACTTATGTCAATAAGTTTGGTATCAAACTGCAGATTATAATTCAGAATTTAGTACCATATATTACTCAATTTCTTAACTTAAAAGCAAATGTTAAAAAATACACAAACATTGATTTGTGTGTGTCACTTGGTGTGTTTAATGCAGCATTGGTTCAAATTAGATGTTTGTGAAGTCAAAGTACTAAGTCTAGTTTTGAATGGATTGGAAACTCAAATTACTGATATTGACAAGCTAGAATATATAATAAGAGCCTCTTATCTTTTCAATTTGCTAAGATATTGCTCATGTAATCAAACACAGTGGCACTCTTTTTTTGGAAATGCACCCTTATACATACTTCTATATATGACATCAATAACCAATCGGAAGTTCAGAATGTCCCCTTAGTGGTTTTCTCAGCCACTTTAACAGACTTGACACCATTCTTTTGTCTGCTTGAATTTTCATATTTTTTAGACTAAAATACATCTTAGTTACCAAGCTTGATAAATTATAGTTGAATTCTATGGTACTAATGTAGTAATTTATGATTTTTTTGTTATTCAAATTTATATATAAAACCTAAAAAATATTTTCTTTTCATATCCTCCATGTGCAATTTTTTTAAATGCTTGGCAACCTACGTCAAGCAACAACTGAGTACAAAGGTCATAACTAGAAGAGATAATTATTTGCTTTGCTTCTTTAGTTACTGTTCTATGTTTTAAGAAAAGTAAGTTTAAGAACTTGTTTCAAAGTAGCAATAACCTTTATACATATATAAAGAATAATAATTGAAATTGTGACTGTATTTTACAAAATATTAGTCTATTAAAACACAGCCAAAACAAATTACTTTGTACAGACCAAAGGTTTGTTTTATGTTATTTGATACGGTAACATGAGTATACGTGAGCCTCCTCATTCTAACTTATGTTTTGTTATCCAGGCACATTTCAATTATTGTACATTATAT